TCCCTACCCCAATATTTTGAAGCTATTCTCTATATTGTTCTTATATATTGTATTGTTACCATTTTCCCTTTAATATGTCCACCTTTAAGAAACCTACAAAAAGTTCTAGGTTTCAGGTACCAAAAAACCCAACTGTCTTAGAACCATTTAAAAAGCAGTCTTTTCTCCACTGTAGGGCAGTACCACTTTTGTCATAAACCGGCCTCCATATGATAAAATGCTACACTACCTTAAAAACTATAGCTGTATTTTGATACGTGGCAGGCAGGGTAAGTCCTATTACATCATTCTTCTTAGAGCATGCCTTGGCTATTCTTGGTCCTTTGCACTTCCATATAAACTTTAAAATGTTTGTCAATCACAAGTTGTAATGAAGATTTGCATTGAAATTACAAATCATTTGGGGATACTTAAGATACTTTCATTAAATTTTCCAATCTTTGAGCACGGAATACCACTTTAAGTCTTCTTTAGTGTCTTCAAAATTTCCTAATTTTCTCCAGAATTTTGAACATCTTTTGTGAAATTGCTAAGTATTTAGTGTTTGTTGATATTACTTTAAATTTTCATGTTTGTTGCTGCTATACAGAAATGCAATTGATTCTTGTATAGCAATTTTTGCATCTAACAAACTTAAATTCTTTTATTCATGCTAATAATTTGTAGATTCTCTTAGATTTTCTACATATTCAGTAATATCTGAGGCTAACAGTTTTGACTTGAAAAGCAGTGATGACAGACATTCCTGTCTCATTCCCAGTCTCAAAGAGAAAGCTCTCAAGGATGCATCACTGCTGCAGATGTTTGGTAGAAACCCTTTAATTAGATTTATGAAGTGCTCTTTATACCTAGTTTAAGTGTTTTATCATGAATAGATTGAATGTTTAGCAAATGCTTTTTTCTACATCTAATGAGATGATTATGAGATGGATCCTAGTTTTTTCTAATGTAAAAACAACTTTGGATTCCTGGCATAAACTTGCTGAGGTCATGAAGAATCATCCTTTGCTGGATTTGTCTTACTAATTACTTAACTTAGGATTTTGCATCTATGCTCCTAAGTGCAATTAGGCTGTCATTTTCCTTTCTCATATCATCATTTGGTATCAGGTATTTATTCACTGGTCTCATAAAATGAGTTAGGAAGTATCCCTTTTTCTATTCACTGGAATTAAATTTGGATTTATTTATTCTTAAATATTTGGCAGTAATCACCAAAGTTGTTTAGGCATGGAATTTTCTTTCTCGGAGTATTGACTCAATTAATTTAATGGCTATAGAATCAATCTTTGTCTATTTTGGTAAGCTATATGTTTCTAAAAATGTGTCCATTTCTTGTACATGCTACAAATTTATTGGCTTTAAGTCATTCATAATAGCATATCTAATGTCACAACAGAAATATTGTTTTTCACTCCTGACATTAGTTAATGTGTACCTGCTCTTTTTTTTCTTAGTTAACTTTGCCAGAAGTCTATCACTGCTAAGTATTTTCCCAAGAATAAACTTTTGGTTTTTTCATTACTTTCTGCTCTAATCTTGTTTTAATCCTCACTGGAGGATATTTTTTCCATTGCCTTTCAGGGAGAGAGAGAGAGAAACATCGATGTGAGAGACATCAGTTGGTTGCCCCTGGCAAGCACCCCGGCCAGGGATCAAGCCTGCAACTGAAGCACGTGCCCTTGGCCAGAATCAAACCCGAGACCCTTCGGCTCAGGGCAAATGCTCTAACCGCCGAGCCAAACCGGCCAGGGCTCTGCCCTAATCTTTATTCCTTCAGTTTCCTTTGAGATTGTTTTGTGCTGTGTTTCGAATATATTAAGATAGATGCTTTTCTGGTTAATCTTCAGCCTTTCTTCTAGACACATTTAAGGCTATCAATTTTATTAAGCATTTCAATAGTATTCAGTTCTACTTATATTCTAGGATCTATTAGGATTTCATGATTGATTCAAGGAAACTGTGTTAACTTCCTAAAATGTGGGGCTGCTCAATCACTTCCTTCCACAATAACAATTTAAAATGAACATCCTAGTGAACTGAACTTTCATTATATGAAGTTACTTTCTTTATCTCTAGCAGTGTTTCTGCCTTAACAATTTTTTTCAGGTAGTACTATATCTACATCAGCTCACTTTTGGTTGGTATAACTTTTGCCATCATTTCACTTTAAAGCTTTGTAATTTATGCTTTAGGTGTGGACTCTTACAGCAGCATATAATTGCTTTCATTTTTCAACCATTTTAACAATCTGCCTTTAACTAGATAACTTAGTTCATTTACATTAAATGTAACTTCTGACATAATCAGGTTATATCTATTACCTCATTTTTTTTTCTATTTATCCTTCCCCTGTTATTACCTATTTCATTTTCCCCCTCTACTAGCTTGGAAGTTAGTCATTTTTATATAACCATTTTAGCGGCTGTTACACAGAAATGAGTTATACACTAGAAATCACATTTATACTTAATCAGTTTCTTCATTCTCTCCTCAGACCATCCACACTTAAAGCACTTACTCTAGTCACTATCCTACAAACATATATATTCATGCGTATTTTAAAATCCCCCATTTGTTTAACCCCATGAAAAGCCATTATTGTTCTATATCGTAAATGCCCCTTTAAATTAATTGATATTTACAAGCATCTTGGTTCTTTCATCACCTTCCTAACTATATCCAGCACACCCTCTAGAATTTCCTTCAGTAAGAATCTGCAGGTGGCAACCCTGCTCGTGTTTGTTGTCTGAAACTGTCTTTATTCCACCATCATTCTCTTTTTTTTTTTTTGAGAACAGATTTTATTTTTCATTTTCCCAAAACACTAAAATAGCACATGACATGGTTATCTAGCACAGGAGACTGGTATATGCAATCCATCATCCTGGACATGGCTGTTTGACTTGGGGACTCCGTAAAAACTCACACTCTTAAGTGACCTTTATCAAAGTTATCAATTAACAAAAAAGGAGCGATCTCAGGAAAACCTTACTGTACAGGAGACCTCGACTAGAGATTAGAAGCTTCCTACAGAGGAAACACTTGAGGTTCCTGAGACGGAGCCTCACGCTTACTTCTGTTTCAGGTAACACCATCATTCTTGAAAGATGTTTGGCGAGTACAGAATTTAAGTTGGAAGTTATTTTTGCTCACACATTAGCGATAGTCATTCAGCTGGTTTCTGGCTTTCATTACTGCTGTTGAAAAGCCAGCTAAAGAGTATACATGATGCTGCTTTGAAAGTTATCTGTGACTTCTGCTTTGTTTTGGTTGCTTTTACAAGTTTTTGTCTTTCACATTCAACCGTTTCATTGTGCTTTACGTAAGTGAAGGTTTCCCATTTATCCTGCTGGGATAAACTTGGGGACTGGGATTTTTCACCAATTTGAAAAATTCTCAGCAATAATTGCTTCAGACACTGTTTCTGCCCTACCATCTACCTGAAACCATGCCTGGCTACACATGAGGCCCCCTGCCTCACCCTCCTCCTCGTCCTCCAGTTTCCCAGCTCCTTTTGCTACATGCATCTTGGGTGATTCCTGCTGCCCCCATTTTGCAGTCATTCATTCTCTTTCCAGGTCCATCTAATCTTCTGTGAAACCTGCCCATTGATCTATTTTTAATTTTAGTTATTCTGTTTTCCATTTCTACACTTCTATTTGGTTATTTTTCAAATACGCTGTCCATTTTTATAATGCCTTGTTTCCTGTAGATATTTTCAAATTTTAAACACAGATGATTTATACTACATACATGCTAATCCCAGTTGTTTTCTGGTGGTCCTGGCTGCCTCACTCACGGTGCTGGTCTTCCCTGAGGTTTATTTAAATGTGAGTCCTTCACTTCCTAGGCAATTATCTGTGACCCTAGCATTCTCCAAAGTTGTTCAGTGGCAGCTGGGAAGTTTCCAAGGTTCTGCGTTCAGTTTGCATAATGTTGCTACCCACATTCTTTTGAACAAATCAAGAAACAAGTCAGTCTGGGTTTGAAGAATTGGAAAATATATAGAGGTCTTGATGAGAAGAGCTGCAAAGGGCATGGGTACTGGGAGTGACAGAGGACTATGGCCATTTTGCAATCCGCCAGGTGGTGGTGTCAGGATTGCTGAATATTGAGGCGGTAGACTCTAGGAAAATAGTGAAATCTAGACTGAATTAGAGAATTCTGAACTGGTGAACTGGGTATAAGTTAATATCTTGCACTCACTGAAAAGGGAAGAAGAGTACACTTAATTTTAAATGAGTGAGAAAAATCCAAATAGAATTTCAGACAGAGATCTGAAGTTCAGAAATGAGGTTTACGTTATGTATTTAAGAGTGCAACTAATATTTGAAGCAATGATGTGTAAAGTAGGATTCCTAGAGATAAAGTCCCAGAGCACATCATTATTTTTTCAAAGAGTTAGGCAGTACACAAACCAGGTAGGAGTGCTTTAAAAGCAGTAAATAATAGTTAATACTATCAAGTCTCACAGGAGCAAATACAAATTAATTTTTAAAGAGCTGACATATGCTGCACAACTTAAACTTCTACAGTGATGTCAATTATTTTTCAATACAATGGGGGGGGGCCTGATATAAATGCAATTGCACCTGAAAAATGACCACTTCAGAGATCTCAGGGTAAACATGAAATAAAAATACAAGTTGTTTTAGTTTGTAATATTTTTTAAAATTCACAAACATTTTAAGATTTGAATGGGATTACCATTTGATTTTTTTTCACTTAATGACCTTAAGTATAAGAAAATTTATAAAAGTGTTTTTAACTCCCCAACCATTAGACAATAAATGAGATTCTCAAGATAACTACAAATTATTTTACAGGTCATCAGTTGTTAACAAACACTGTAGAAATGTATTATACTATCATTTGTATGATAGATTAATACTGAGTCTTAAAGCTTCTTTTTAACCTTTCATTGTAAATGAACAATGACCCAGGGAGAAGGGACATTTAAAAGAATAATCACACGTATTATGAAAGTAGGAATGATGAAACTTTTAAGATGACAATGTATTTAATTAAATAATCTGGCTGAAATTCTACATCCATATTATCATGATGTACTTATCTGATGAAACTAAAACCATGAGGCTAATGCTCAAACAAGAATAGCATTAAAAACAAATTTATACATAAATTTTTTTTGCAAAATTCCAGAAGTTTGTCCTGTTTAGAGCTGTTCTTCCTTATTTAGTCCAATAATTGAATCCCATCTGGCAAGTACTGTTACTCCTCTATCATGTAAAGTTCCGTCCACTGGTGACCTGATCCATACACTTCAGTGAGCATTCATAACATCCCCCAACAAAAAATATATATTTTATTACACCAGGCACTCTTCAAAGCCTAAAAGCTCAAATTTTTAAAACCAATGAGAGTTAAAATAAGGGGTTTTGAACTGTAAATGCTTGTTAAGCTTTACTGTATAGACTAACATTTTGGTTTCCTAGACTCAGTGATACTAAATTGCCTATTGGGTTTAGTGGCTTCTTGCATCAGCTCCTGCAGCTGTCCTATTTGTTCATCACGAAAGTCATTAAGTTTTTCTTCTGGTAGGGCTGTTCCAAAGCATGCTTTTTCAGTCGAATTTTGGCTGTTTTCATTAGCTTGTTGCCATAGCACTGCTGCATACGCCTAGTAAAAAGAGAAAAAATAAGATCAGTAGTCATACATTAATGTTGGAGGAAATGAAGACTTCCAAGTACTTGCTTTTCTCCATCACTGAGTCTTCTGCCTTTGATGAAAAAGATACAAAAGATACTATAGCTGTGTCTTTACTATTCAGTGATAATTTCAAGTATCTTACTTTTAGAATTTTAGGAGACTTAATAAACTTTTAGCAAAATTCTTCACCTGGAAAGCTGTGGGGTGGGAGGCCGATGGAGGAGCTTCAGAAATGTGTATAAACCACTCAAAAATCATGTGCATGTACACACATGGCACTGTTCTGGAGCCATACTTTCATTAGATTTTCAAAGGGATAAACCATCAATCTTAATCGATTTAAAAATGGGTCTCAAAATTTAAATTAAAGATGGGGATGAACTTAATAAATCACACTAGAAAAAAAAAATTCAGACCTTTAAGCCTTCAATATTTAACAACCATTTTTGTCAGGAAAAAATTCTACATTTTTCATGCCGTAATTTTTCTCTCAGTCAACATCTTCAGCCCAACATTCCAACTACTGTTGTCTTACACAAGTGACACTTTTTTGAACAGATAGATTGATTATAGAGTAAGAATAATTTAATCAGGCGAGAAGTACTACTGTATTTCAGTTCATGAAGTTAAAGATTACATGGCTAAGTGAATGAAGTAGTTAACTCTAGATAATGTTACTACTCTGTCAGGTTTAAGATAATGAAATTGCTTATAACTGCCAGCATCACCAAAGAAACTTTAATTCCAGACATTTCTCTTTTTTTTGGAAGTTGTAACTGGTTTTTATTTCATCAACATACTACACTAAAGTGGCTTTAAACATAGAAGGAAAACCACTCTTATCCCGAAATGCCCACTTTTCAGCAATGCATACTTAATCCAAGCATGGAAAAGGGAAAGTTAACAATTTCACCTAACTCCATGACTGGTGGTGTTTTGTTTTTTTTTGCATTTATTGGGGTACACTGGGTAATAAAATTATATAGGTTTCAGGTATACAGTACTACAATACATCATCTGTGTTTACACCCCAAATCAAATCTCCTTCTAGCACCATTTATTCCCCCTTCCCTCTGGCAATCACCATATTGTTGTCTGTATCCATGAGTCGGTCTCTCTACTTTGTTAGTTATGTGCACATTGTAAGTGAAATCATATGGTACTTGTCTTTCTCTGTCTGGCTTATTTTACTTAGCATAATACTCTCCAGGTCCATCCATGCTGTCACAAAAGGTAAGATTTCCTTCTTTATTTATGGCTGAATAGTATTCTATTATGTAAATATACCACAGCTTTTTTTATCTACTGATGGGCAATTGGGCTGCTTCCAAATCTTGGCTACTATAAATAATGATGCAATGAACATAGGGGTCCATATGTTCTTTCAAAATAGTGTTTTGGGCTTCTTTGGCTATATTCCAAACCTTTACTTGTATTAGAAATAATATTTTCTTTATGTTTACAAAAATCCATTTCATATAATCATATAATAAAAACACACAAAAACTGCACATACCTTAAGCTTTATGAATCCCACTTCTAAATGTATGCCCCAGAGCAGAGTTTCTCAACCTTGACACTACTGATAATTTGGATAATACTTTGTAGTGGAGTGGGTAGGTACCCATTTTTGCATTACAGGATGTTTAACAGTATCTCTGGTCTCTATCCACTAGATGCCAGTAGCACCCTTCCCCTCAGTCTTGATAATCAAAAATGTCTCCAAACATTGCTAAAGGATCCCTGTCAGGCAAAATTGTCTCAGGTTGAAAACTATTGTCCTAAAGAAACTTTCAAACATGTAAACAAGTAGCATGCACAAGAATGTTTATTGTGGCATTGCTTGTTAAAGCAAAATTTTGGAAACTATCTAATTGTACTTCAATAGGAAGACAGTTACACTGAGGTTTATTCAGATACTTTTTTATAATCCATTATAGTAAATGAACTAAATGTCTGTGCATGAACATGGATAAATCTCCAAAGCAAATAGAAGCCAAAAAGGTCCTTGTTTGTAGAAATGAAAAAAATCAATACATTCATATTGAAATATCTCGAGAGGCCCTAAATAGTCAAAACAATCTTGAAAAAGAACAAAGTTGGAACATGCACAGTTCCTAATTTCAAAACTTACCACAAAGCTAGTGTGCTACTGGCTTTAGGAGAGACATATACACCAATGGAACAGAACTGAGAGTCCAGAAATAAATCCCTGCATATTTACCAACTGATTTTTGTCAAGGGTGTCAAGTCAACTTGATGATGTAAAGATCATCTCCAACAGGTAGTGCTGGGAAAACTGAATTTCCACATGCAAAGAGTGACATTGTATCCCTACCTTTCACCACATACAAAATCAACACTAAATGGATGAAAAGACCTAAACTTAAGAGCTAAAACCATAAAACGATAGTAAATCTTCAGGACCTTGGTTTTGGCAGTAGATTCTTAGATATTTTATTCAGATTCAAATATTACCTATTCTTTGCCATCTCAATGTCTAAAATATCCTTGCAGTTATTTTCTTGTGTATTTATCAGGGTTCAAAGAAGACAACTAGTTAGCATTAAGGATATCTTTTCTCAATCCTGAGACCTTTATTTTCAATAAGGTCATAGTGATTACAAGGGTAACAAAGTTTAGTCCTGTTCAGTTGTTGTTAACTAATCCTCATTGTCTCGAGCTGCCAATGAACTATTTCTTTAAGTTTCTCCTTCCTCTCTGGTAAGTGTTCATTTGAGAACACAATAAAGTCCTTTAATGAAAAAAGCCTGAATTTACTAGCAGTTTTTATTCTTTAATAATGTGAAGGTATTTAAGAAATGTTTTTAAGCCAAACACGTTTTAAAAGTCTAATCAAAAGCACAGGATTTGGAATTGATACTTAAGCACATGCTTGTGAACTCTGATAAAGTTCACTTCCATCAGTACCATTTGTACTGATAGAATGAATAGTAGGATTTGTGCTACTTGCCCCACATGCATCAAAGTGGAATAAAATTCCTTATACACCTGCATATAAAAATTGAGACTGATTGGTTCTTATGAACAAATCTGGGCTACAATTTTTTAACATGGCAATAAGGAGCAGAGTTGTCAAGAAGTGAAGAGAATAGGATTTGAACATGGCTGGTGATAGTCACAGATAGCCAAGAATCAAGAAAATAGATCTATGAATTTCAGAGACTTGAGACTATAAATGTGAGTAACAGGAATGTTAGGGCAGAAAAGCTACTGAATCCATTCATATCTTAGATAATTACATGTATATAGAGAAGGAAAGAATTGTTCAAATTAACTATGTACACTTTCACTATAGATTAGTATGCAACAGTTAAAGTCAAACATGGACTGACAGAAATTCCCCAAGATAAGTGGAAAAAGCAACTTGCAGATTATATCACTATTTGTATGTTTTTAAAACATGTACAAATGTATCTTCTGTAATAGAATATTTTGTTCTGAACATCTCACCTCTGTACTGTTTTGATCTCACAATAAATATTTAAATAATTAATATTTAAGTAATTAAATGGGAAGGAAAGAAAGCAAGGAGGAGAGACACTTATAAGGAGAAATTTTGGAATGGAGAAAAGTTATAGGTCTGGTTTTTTATGATATATCTACCAGCAGGGACCAAATCAATTTGCCCGTAAAGATTTACCAAAGAAAATGCAAATTCTCATTACTTTGTTTAATCACATATCTACTATTTAACCTTCTTTGTTCTTTAAAACAAAACTGCAACTAAATAGTACAGTCAGAAACATTTTTGATTCTGTGAGAAATCATATGAAAATCCAAACTGTCAAACTCTGTAAATAGATAAATGTTTTTCTAAATATGAATATCCTTTTGTGAAGCAATTATCATAGGTTCCTAAATGGTTTAAGAAGCCTCCTTCTTTTAAACTAGAAAACTAAAATGACAGTAATTCCTCAATTTTGGCAAATTAAAACCTGTACTCCTTCACTATAAACTCCTAAAGAGAGAACAACTGCAAGATCTAGAAGAAAAAAGTTACCTTTCTGCCACAATTATTCAATTATTGTAAGATTTTATTAGCAACGCTGAACCAGCAAACTTAAGTTTGGAGCACTTAATCAAGCTTTCCCCAGAGAACCGATTAAAAATGCTAGGTGCCTCCTCAAGGAACCAAAACAACAAAAACACCCCCCTTCATAAATACCTGAAAGTCATTGGAATTACAAAACTAAATTTAAAGACACCTTGGGAATCTGAAGTACAGTTGCTCAAGTCACTAATACAGAATACTTTATATTACAGAAAAGAATCTATATTGGCAATAATAATAAATTTGATTTTTTGGTTCTCTTTGAACAAATTTTATGATTTTTCAAGTCACTGGTGATAGACAATCCATTTTTATAGCACAAAAATATCATAAAAAATAACCTATGCTATTTCTTAGCCCCAGACACTTATAATGCATCACACTGATTCACAGAAAACAAAGTAGCACTAGTGTCACCAATAAGTGTATTTCCCAGGTGGCCATGAAGCTGGGCCTCTCTGGAATCAAGTTCCCCAGGCTCCTCTGCCCAGCACAGTAAGCCAGACTCAGGACTCACCAGTGACTGCAGGGATGAGGAAAGTGTTAGCTGCTGTTTATAGCAAGGCAAGGAAAAACGGGGGTGGGGGAATAAAAAACAAGAACATGGAAGATTCTTGGTTAGGGAAGTAGTAAGGAAATATGGACAAGATCTGGCTCACAAACGCTCCTTACACTTATTTTGACCCCCTAAGCATGACCTTATAGTGGAGAAAGGTACATTGCTACAAAAGCTTAGTCATAAAAGCCCTTATACATTGCCCTGAGTATGCTTTGTAACAAATAACTTTTAGACATGCATTCAGTTCTTCAAATTGCAAGGATGGCAACTACAATTTCTACTATCCTTCATCATCTAGGCCCCTACTATGTCACCAACCTCGTTACAAACTACCTA